TATAAGATTAATATATAATAATTTTTAATACGATAAATCTTTACTTTTAATACGCCCCAAGAGCTGGCTAAGTAAAAGTTCTAACGGTATATACAGAGGTATCTTCGAACTATTTAAAGCATTGATGATAACGTTGGTCGGATACTTGACTGGCTTGATCAGGAAGGTCTAGCAGAAGATACCATTGTTGTCTATACTTCAGACCAAGGGTTCTTCCTCGGAGAACATGGTTGGTTTGATAAACGTTTCATGTACGAGGAGAGCTTCCAAATGCCCTTTATCATTCGCTACCCACGCGAAATCGCACCCAAGTCGGTATGCAGCGAGTTGCCCATTCCTTACTCTTGAGATTTTACCTAACATCAACCTTGTAGTTCTATTCCATGCGTCTTTTTTGCTGCGGCGACTCCTTCGTATGCGGCCGAAGTAGCACCTCTACAACTCAACGGCTACCTAACAGTCTACGTCAACCTGTGCTGGGTTATGGGCAAGATGATCTCATTTGGCGTCCTCACTTCGATGCTAAAATATCCTACAGAGTGGTCATACCGTATTCCCTTCGCCATCCAATGGGGATGGCCACCATTCATGATTGTCGCTATATTTCTCGCCCCCGATCTCAATTGGCCCGATTCCCTATGGTATCGCAGCTAATATCGGGGCCTCTAACCTCCGAGTTAAGACAATCTCCCTAGGTAGAAACACCTACTACTTTCTGTCCATCATCAACGTCATCGTCTCTCCCTACCTGCTCAATCCACAGGAAGCGAATCTTCAAGGAAAGGCTGCTTTTCCTGCGGCAGGACTCACTATTATGCTCCTTGTTTGGACTTACTTTAGGTTACCTGAGATAAAGGGGATGACAACTGAAACTCTCAATCATCTGTTCTATAACAAGGTTTCAGCTAGAAAGTTTTTGGAGGCTTCAAAGCAGTACCAGTAAAGCCGCGATAGTATTCCTCTAGAATAACACTTGAACATAAGCACTTCTAGCAGCACTACTATCAACTTCGCTGCATGTCTTACTGCTTAAAGTTCTCGTCTGCCGCTTTTCTTCTCAAATGCATAAGGCTCATGGACAACCGTAGATCATCTGCATAAAGGAAAATCGAGATATTTGCCATATTAACATTGATCCCCAGGACATGCTCCAAATAATCTCCCAAAGTCTCGTCATCATGACGAACCTGTGTTGGCAACCGTCAAGCAGCTGAAGCCGCCGCTCAGCATCTTCCTGTACTCTTTGTTACCGTCATAAGCCTTGAGGTTACTAACAGTGGTGAAAGAGCAAACATTTGTGATGTGGCAAAGCCAACATGCCGCTGGAAGCATGCCTGTCAATATATATCAAAGAGAGAACAGGGCATCGATAGGACATTGAAGTCCCCCATAAGTCCCGGTTAATTGTATCATTCGCTTTGGCGAATAGCCCCGCTAGGAAGCCAACGACGTTCAATGAGAGCTCAAAGAGGCTGTCTGGCTCCTTATAGGCTCAAACCCCGAAGAGGCAACCGTACAAACGCAACATGCTGTGACAGGCTGATTTCGCCTCGCATCCATTCGAGCGGGGTAGTAATCATGCAATTGATAAGCTCGAATTCGACGTACTGGGTTTCTCTTCACAATCCTGCTACGTAATCATCTGCTTTTATCTTTCTCGTTACTGTATAAACACGAAGTTGTAGCCACAGCCTCATCTGCCTTGTCGACTATCATGTCGGATCCTGAAGAAATCGCGACTGAGGAGGCAATACTCAAGGCCATGTCTGATTGCTGTCATGATTTCCCAGATCAGATGTTCAAAATCGCCCATCGATACTTCACTCGATACAAAAGAATCGGATTGATCACCGACCTAGACAAGGCTATCAGCATGGCAACTAAGGCCATTGATCTCACGCCAGAGAATCACGCACGTCTAACTCAACGTCTGATCAACCTCTCTGTCTACTGGCACGAAAAATACCCAAGAAGTGATCCACAGAATGTTCAAGGGCTTCGAGACTCCATTAAGGCCTCGCGAAACGCAATTGCAGCTCTTCCAGAAGCTTATCCAAACCGGGGAACAATTCTTGATCAGTTATCCACAAAGCTGGGATTGCTCTTCATGCAGACGCGAGAGCTAGTACTTATCGAAGAAAACATTGCAGTCCAGCGAGAAGCTGTGGAGGTAACACCAATCAGCAATCCGAAGCGTGTTTTTTTTCTAGCCAACCTGGCTGCTCCCCTTACAGGCCGACACCAAGTTCTCGGTAACAAGGAAGATCTCGACGAAGCAATTCAAATATGTCGTGATGTCATAGCGCAGACGGATGAAAACTCGCCCCAGCTTCTCGAAAGACTCGGTAACCTCTCGCTAGGACTAAGCGAAAGATATGATACACATGGCGACCAAATCGATCTTGACGAAGCAATCGAAGTTGTGAAACAAGCTATTGAAGTTACCGAAGAAAACAGTCTGGAGCGCATGGCCCAGCTGAGTAATTATGCTAATTTCCTTGGTGACCGATACCTCAGGGCGGGAAACATCAGCGATCTTGAAGAGTCCATTCACATATTTGATATGGTCTGTGGCCATCTCGCAGATGAGGAAGTGTACCTGGATAGACACAAATGTTTCAGCAACTTTGGCATCCAACTAAGTCGCAGATACAGAAGGATCGGAACCGTGGCTGATTTGAAGCAAGCTATACAAGTCGGACGAAAGGCTTGTGAACTGAGTCCCGAAGACGACAGCAAGTCGAAGTACCTATCCAATCTAGCAATCATCTTGAAGCACGAATACTTCAGAACAGATGATCCAGAAGTTCTCGAGGAAGCCATCGGCGTGCAGAGAAAGGCTGTAGAGGCCGTCCATAAGAATCACCCCAACATATTTGCCACACTTCACAATCTTGCAACCCTTCTGACTACGAAGTACAAGCTTACGCAGAAGCTGGAGGACCTTGAAGAGGCATTGAGACTGGGGCGGCAAGCTGTGGACTTGACACCGGAAGACCATGCCAACAGAGCGGCTTGTCTCAACACTCTGGCAGTGCAGTTGAGTGACATGTCCAAAAAGACTGGTTTGTCGAGCCATTTACACGAATCCATCCGTTATGGGCGAGAAGCACTGGATATAACGGAAGAAATCCACCCAGAGCGTGCTAATAGGCTTGTCAACCAAGGTGGCCGATATGGTGATTTGTTCTGGGGGACGAAAGAGAGAGAACATCTCGATGCTGCCATTGAACACTTATAGTCTGCCTTATCTAGAGCTGTCACTTACGACGATCCTCGAATTCGTGCAGGAAAAGAACTCGTCCAGTACTACGCGGCAGTACCTGACTGGGATAAGGCTTATGAAGCTGTCAAGACTGCGATGGACCTTGTTCCCAATCTCATTGCACAGACGACTAGCAATGTTGATAAGCAAGATGCACTGGTCCAAGTTTATGGCCTATCATCCGATGCAGCGGCTGTGGCACTGTCGGCGAACAGAGGAGCACTTGCTGCATTACGGTTTCTTGAACAAGGGCGGGGGATGATGGCAGCTTCAGTTGAAGAATCACGAATGGAAACTCTCGATCTTCGTACTGAGTATCCCAAACTCGCGGAGCGTTTGACTCGATTACAAAATCAAATCCGTTCTTCTGGAGCTGTCGGTCATTCCAGAGATGAGATCCACAGGCCTTCATCATCAGGACGGCAGGTCGGAATAAGCCATGACCTGGACGAGCTTCACAAACTACTTGACGAGATCCGCCGAAAGCCCGGATTTGAAGACTTCCTCTCTGCGCCGAGCGAATCCAGCATCAAGAATGCTGCAATTCCAGGAGCGATTATGGTTATCAATGCCAGCGAATTCCGTCGTGATGCAATTATCGTGGAGCGCGACCAGATTCGCAGCATTCCCTTGCCTCTGCTTACAATCCTCGATATAAGGTCCAATGCCCAACAAGCCCACACTTCAAGTCCAAAGATACTCGAGTGGCTGTGGCATACTATTGCTGAACCCGTCCTGGGTGCGCTAGGAGTTACTGAGGTTTCTCCTGAAGAACGTCTGCCACGGATTTGGTGGATCCCAACAGGCTTGCTAAGCATATACCCTCTCCATGCAGCTGGCCGACATTATCAAGGATCGCAGGAGGCCGTGATCGACAGAGCCATGTCATCATATAGCTCATCTATCAGGGCCATTATCCGGACTCGGAGTCGTGCAGGTCTAGACCCGTTTCCCTCGAGCAACGAGCGGGCCTTACTTGTGTCCATGGAGTGAACACCAGGATACAGTACACTCCCATCCGCGGGCAAAGAAGTAGCTCAGTTACGCCCAATCTGTGAGTCCAAAAGGTTCGAGGTAGTTCAGCCAAAGTCCCTCAAAGAAGAGATTGTTTCGCAGCTTCCAGGGTGTAAGGTCTTCCACTTCGCTGGTCACGGTGCCACTAACCTGCGCGAACCTTCCCAAAGTAGCCTTCTGCTGGAGGATGAACCTCTGACTGTGTCAACACTCCTCGACACCAACATCCAGCAATACTCACCATTCCTTGCATACCTTTCGGCGTGCGGTACAGGACAGGTTGCTCACGAGAAATACCTAGATGAAAACATTCATCTTATTAGTGCCTTCCAGCTAGCTGGATTCCGTCATGTCATCGGTACTCTTTGGGAGGTTGGCGATGATATCAGCGTTCATATGGCAAGGATCACCTACGAAGCTATTCAGCGTGGTGATTCTGCAGATGAATCGGTATGCCGAGGCTTGCATAAAGCGACATTGAAGCTACGCGATCAATGGCTAAAAGAACAGCGTCCAACTTGTGGTCGCAAGAGGAAGGCAAGATATATTCCACGAGATGAAGGGGAAATGATGCTTGGTCACCGTGATATAGAAGCCTTGGATGATGATGAAGAAGAAGTTTCGAGATTACCACAATGGGTTCCATATGTTCATTACGGAGTATAGATCATAGCTAGATATATCTAGTGTAATGGAGATCCGAGCTGAACTTCTCCTCGGGGTTCGCGGCAGCTTATTATGCATGCTATATGTGTAATCTACTAGTAGAGCTTCATGGCATCTACATTATCATTCTCCCTGCCTTCTAGTCTTTTCATACCACTTTTCAAGCTGCTTCCATTTGTCTCATCACTGGACAAGACATTTCTTGTTAAATCCTTCACTTTCCGAATCTCGGCAGACATTTGAGATGTAAGTGCCACGATATCCGCACCGCAGTTTACAAAATGGAAACCTTACTCATATCGCTGAGCAGCTACTGAGAAATTAGCATACCAGATACAGCTTTTCAGAGAGCCCGAGCTCTGTCATTTGGCCCGATAAAGAGCATATCTATTGCGGTATCGTCAATAAATCTGTGATGAGATCCAGCGTGGACAGCGACGTGGCATACCAATACCATCAACCTTGGCAATCTCCTCAACGTTTTCCACGCCTTTGCGAGACTCGATTTGCACGAATATCATCACATTGCTATTTGCGTTGATCAAATAGTCACGACCGGTCAGGTTGAAAGCTGCTGGAGCAAACATGGCGCCAGTGCCTCGGAAACCATTTGGGTAACTCTTTGAGGGGTATTTGGCGGATTCAACAATCTGCATCGCTTGTTCCTTCGTCTCGCACATCGGCACCATGATCGCATGGGCTCCTGCATCCAGTGCTCGCTTCACCATCCACGGCTCACCGGCCGGAATTCTAACAACTGGTGACACGCCACTTGACGAAATGGCACTGATTTGAAGGTACCTGTTGTGATCATCGATATGGCCATGCTCACAGTCAACAAGAACCCACTGCCATGTTAGTCGTATTTGACTTATCCTAGAGTAGACTGACTGACATCTTGACCAAGAGGTGCAACGATTTTGGCGAGAGCATGCCCCGGTAACGCAAGCCATTGTCCCAGGCTTGGACCTTGACGATCTCTAGCTCGTTCTAGGGATTCCAGGAGGCGTGTTTTCCCGGAGGTATTGACGACTGGAGAAGTATTTTGATAAGCCATAGTGAGTTCTATCAGTGCAACTAAGCAGTCAAGAGAAGATCGGTCAACCGGCCATATTCATGTGATGACTTACAAAGTATGGCTCGGCCGGAGCTCGGTCCGGAGTGGGTCGACCTCTCGTTCAACTGATCGACATTATCGTGTCCCCTCCCTAAATAACGTTAAGGAGGGTAGATAAGCTTCTTGGCTCGGCCAACAGAAGTGATTCCGATATCGCTGGTCATTTGTTTCGCCCTTTCGTCCTCCAGAATTCCTTCTAGACCGTGAATAACGGTGTCTATTCATCCCGTTACTAATCGCATCTAACATCTAACATTATCAATATTTGTATCACGATCATGAGTTCACACGACGTCATCACATCACGAGTTTGGCAGGCATGCGTGACTTGCCGAAGGAAAAAGGTCAGTTTTGAATTACTTGTATGTTCACGGTACATTCTCTCACTCTACGGTAGATCAAGTGCGACGGAAATAATCCCTGTCATAATTGCGACTCCCGCGACCTTGCGTGCGAGTATCCTGGGAGCAATGACAATGGTTCTCACAGTCGCAAGTCTCTGGCCTAGTACCATATCTAATCATGAATCAGTGTTGACGTCTCGTAGTTATGCAGCAATGTATGAAGCTCGTTATCGGGAGCTTGATGAGTTTTGTCAAAAGCTACAGGTTGTAGCAGCACAACTAACAAATGCTATAGACAGACTACCTCAGGGAGGATGCACTGATGCTTGTTCCCACGTCTCTTCATCTGCGTCGCCCAATCAGAGATTATTGCCTCAACAGGGCAAAGTCTCAGCAACAACCGGCACCGCCACTGATTCAGGAAGCAACGGTCACTCTCAACCGCGGCCCAGTGATGCTGACGAGCAAAATACCGACCAGAGTCAGGAGCAAGTGAATAATTCTGGAGAGTTCGGAACTCAAGCATTTGGCTCCTTGGTCCACGACTCATATGGCGCTCTGAGGTTAGTCCTCAAAAGTTCTGCTTGTGGTAAGTGCTCAATTGAGTAGGTTCGTTGGTGGCGCGAATAATGAGTTTCTGCTGCAAGCGGTTGATAGCTTGACTCTGGAACCATGCCAGGGCTCTGATGATTCCCCTTACTCCGTCAGAAGCCAACAAGACACAACTAAGATGATAGAGAGACCAAAGCCTGAGCTTCCATTCTTTGTTCATGGTCTCAGATGGCGTGACCTACCCTACCTCCCCAAAGCGGAGGACGTGAATCTACCACCGAAATACATCGCTAATATGCTAGTTGGCCTATATTTTGAGCATTTTCACTATACCTTTCCTGTAATTTACAAGCCGTATTTCACAGAAAGCTACAAGACTCTATACACATCACAACGAGGCTCCATACAAGATACCGGGTTTGTTTCGATCTTCTTCGCAGTTTGTGCTTGCGCATCAAGTTTGACCGCCCCCGACGGGAATCACTCATCTTTCCCTGGGCTTGAGTTTTATGAGAAGGCTCTGGTCTTGCATTACGCTACAACTGGTCAAGCTACCAAGTCTCGGGTACAGTGCCTAGCATTGATCTCGATGTGTTGTGCTGGTTGGAATACTTTGTCAACGAGCTGGAACTTTTCTGGTCAAGCTATAAGAGCTGGTCAAGAATTGGGGATGCACTTAGAAGTAGTAAGTGAGCAGAGCTCAAAAGTGCTGAAGAGGTTGACTCACCAGGAATAGGCACCGTCAACCACGGAATCCCCAAGAAGTCCAGCCGCTTCAGTTGAGGTTGAAATTTACAGACGAATCTGGTGGAGCATCTACTGCTTAGATAGGTATGTTCAGAGGATTCATTGATATCTCGTCTGCTAATCGTCGTAGAATTACTTCTATCTGTCTTGGGAGGCCAATGGCCGCAAATGATAGCGACTGCTACTGTGCCTTACCACTTCCCCTCGGAGACGAGGAACTAGATACACTATACAGTGTAGAGGGAACTTTAGACCATGACATGAACCAACGTTCAGCTCTATCAGGCTTTCTAGATATCATAGGGCTTTGCAAAGTAGCTGGTGAAGTGCAAAGCATTCAATCGCCGGGTGAGATACGCGACCTTGGAAGAAAGGCTGGGCAGAAAAGGGTCATGGATCTAGCTCTGGGGCAAGAAAAGTCATTAGACAGCTGGCTCAAAGATCTTCTAGAACACCTACAATCATACGAGAGGTATTGGAACCACTAGAACCCTTTAAATGTCTGCTAATCATTGGCCATTGCATCAGCATTATGAGTTTAGGGTCCAAATCTGAGCTCTCTGTTCAAGGTTTGATCATGCACGATCGAACACTCGTTGCTTTATACCAGTAAGTTTCAACAGATCTCTAGATTCAGTGAAGAGATCACTCACACGATAGTTCTAGGACTTTTGCCCGTAGAAAGCACTCATTCAGCCAGCGGCAAACCGTAGAAAATTGTATGACCGCTGCCAGGAGTTGCATCAATAATTCAAGGCATATAAGAGACTTTGTACCACCTTCCAACTATCTAGCATTATGTGTAAACTACCTTATTATATATGGTCTTGTTCTGTAGGTACATCAGAATGAAGGCCGGCCGAAGATCTGGACAGGCTACGAATGACGGACCCGGAAAACATACGGGAGGATAATGACTTGCAGCTCTGTATTAAGCTTCTAGGAGACTTGGAAGGAACCTGGTCCGGTGCTACCAGGGGGAAGATTATCATTGAGGAGGTACTACGGACTTCTTATGACAGCCAAGTGGGACAGCAAATAAACATGGATTTCCAGACATTGTTCCAGAACCCCGACCTTGATTTGACCAACTTGGACTTATCCCAGGGTTTTTTTGAGACTTTTTAGGGAACATTTATTTGATAACCCTCTAGCGGTGCACAGATAGCATGAAATCAAGGTTAAGATGCTGGATAAAGTTCTTATGTAGAAACATCCCAAAATTGTACTACAACCTTTCTCACTCGTCTGACTCCCTCTTCAATCTGCTCTTTCTGTATAGGGGTCAGCAACTATATCTTGCAAAGTTGAGGAAGCCATTCTTACAGATGGACTTGCAAACGAGAACCGGAAAAATGCAGACTCTGGATCCGCCCCTCTAGCTACGGTGGAAGTCTTGTCAGGGCCTTGCCAAGCATAATAATAAGACCCAGGTGTCAGAAGGACTAGTTGTTCTGCCAGGGTTTCCCAAAGTTCGGTAGCAAAAGCCTGCTCTAGGTCTTCAATCTTCTCATCGCGAAGTTCAGTGAACCGGCGGACCCCATGGAAATAGAACTTTGACCAGACAAACATCCCTTCTTTGGGCTCGATGTAACTGAAGATAGGCATGAGCTTTCCGTCTGAGTCTGGGATAGAGGCAACGTTGCCTTGAGCCTGCAGCACTGGAGATTTGGTTGCCGGCAGAACTATGAAGGAATCTTCAAAGGCCGTAATAAGCCAATCTCTTCTGGCTCTATACTGAAACTGGAGGCCTTGGAGCCATGTTAGATAGCCATCAATGCCCCAGTTTTGGAACAGAGCCAATGTCAATGCTTGACTCAGCCCAGCTGGGTCTTGTGTCTCGACTTCAGTGACCCGCAGCAACCTCTCTGTAAACACTGAGTTGGCCATAAAGAACCCTAGCCTAAGGCCAGGGAAGAGGGTTTTGGAGAATAACTCAAGATGGATAACGCGTCCCTAAGTATCCATCAAGAGAAAAGAGGGTATCAACAATTCGAGAAATTTGTCAGATAATACAGGCGTAAAGGTCAGCTCCCTTTTTGTGGACTTCGGGAACTGAAGACAATAGTATGGATTGTCTTTGATAAGTATAATGTCTTGATGGTTAGTGTAATCAAAGACAGATCTTATGAACCGTTTACCCACCAAATTCGACACAAACTGCGTAGATTTCCCTTCTTCGCTGAGCTGAAATTGTAACTCCTGTTGGGTTTGAGCCTAAGTGGATAAGGTATAGACTGTAGTTAACTGTCAGTATTGTTCAAAGTTTGCTCACGTTGACCTACAGCCTAGGTCGCCTTTGACCCATGGTCGTTTCATCCCAACTTTCCAGCATCTTTCGTAATCCTGTAGCGGACATTCCTTGTTCATCGGCCGAGACTGATGTTGCCCTGATGCCCAATAGTATCCACAAAGCCTGAGCTAATGGATAAGTGAACTCGTCAACTATCACATAGTCATTATCCTCGGAAAGAAGGCCAACGACTTTAGACCATGCGTTTGTGTTTCCAGGGTGCAGAAGATATTCGTGTTCACAAGGGGGAGCATGCATACAATCAGTGAGCTCTCTTGCTAAACTCACGAGTTTCTTGTTACCAGCACCGGGGCCTTTGAATGGTTAGCAGGCGGGCATGGTGTTATCGTGTTGCTCTTGGGCCTACCATATTGCAGGAACTCGGTTAAGTCCAACTTGCCACTATTCGGGCCACGTCCAAGATCAAGGTTTACCAGTGGAGTTTCGAAAGAAGGTTCAGTATGCGGTGGCTCACATTCGAAGACTGCTCGCTGGACTGGGAATAGAGATGGATGAGGCAGACCTGGTATAACATTAGTTGAAGGAATCAGCTAACCAAAAAACGGCTCATGATTACCTCCCGCTAGGCTTATCATGCCATCCTTTCCCATAAATCGAATAATATCTTTGAGTGGTGAGGGATGACGCGCTTTGCTCTTTTCATTTATATGATGAGAAAGGTCTATCGGAAGATATTTGTGGTTGATGCTACCCATTGTCGTCCAAAAGAAAGGTAAGACTTATTGTCAGTGATGTCTGTCCTAGTTCTAGGATGTCCTATCTTGAAGTGAGTTTTATTATTACGAACCGAGCTGTAACCAGACTGTCTAATAAAGCCAAAGGTCATCCGTCCGTTGATATCGGGCGGAGATCCGATGAAGTGTGGAGTTGATGACAAGATAGGCAAATGCAGCCTAATCCGGGCGGATCTCGGAAGCGGAGCATACCAGAATAGAAAGCATGAATCACAGGCTTCTCCAAATGTAGCCTGTCTCTCGATTGACGCCCAGATGAAAGAATCTCAAGCAACAAGCCCAGTTCGTCGACATGGGAAGCACCATTTCGTATGGCGAAAAGGCGTACGACCTGAACCTTGGTGACAAAGGCAAAATACGTGGCATCCAATTTGATCAGAAATCTCGAAGATATGCTGGCATCTCATATGCGCTTCCGCCAACCGGCAACTACCGTTGGCGCAAGCCGAGGCCTCTACCGCCTTCGTACACCTATGCAAACGGTGAAGATGGTCCCTTCGATGCGACTCAATTTAAGGCCATATGTCCACAAAAGGCTTTCCACGTTGGAAAAGCCGAAGGAGGTGATGGTACCTATAGCGAAGACTGCTTATTCATGAACATCTGGACACCCGTCGGTGATGAGAAGAACTCAAAATGGCCTGTTATGCTATGGTTACACGGCGGCTGGTTCCACATGGGCGACCCCTCGCAAGACCCGGGCATGGACCCAACGGAACTCATTTCTACCGGCGGCCTTAATGCTATCATAGTAGCCATAGGCTATCGACTGAACATCTTTGGTTTCCTCGCTGGAGAGGCCCTTCTCGAAGAAAGCAAAGGCGATTCAGCTGGTAACTTTGGCCTGTGGGACCAGCGAATGGCAGCTGAATGGGTGAAGCAGAATGTTTCTCTATTCGGAGGAGACCCTAACAATATCACTCTGGCTGGTAGAAGCGCTGGTGCATACAGCGTTGAATCTCAGATGCTGTACGAGTTCCGGAAGCCAGGGCCTAAGACATCTTTGTATCGCCGTATTTTCATGAATTCGAACGCCATTCCTGCACAGCCAAAGTCACTTATAGAAATCAAGCCCCAGTTTGATGAAATCTGTCAACTATTCAACATTAACGAGGAGTATTCTACAAGGGAGAAACTTGCTCGTCTTCGGCAGGTGACAACGCAAGATCTTGTTGAAGTTATCCCCAAGCTGAAGCATCACACATTCAGGCCTGTGACCGACAATCTGTTTATTCATCCAAACATGATGGAGTATCTTAGTAGCCCCGACTGTGCCGACGAGTTTAAGTCCAGAGGCTATAAGATCTTGATCGGTGAAGTCGCCAACGAAGAGACGCTTTACTCGGTCTACAACAGTCCCACTGAACCAAGTCTTGATGCATTAAGGATTCGGGTTATGAACTACTACTCACCTCAAGTCTCCGAGCGAGTGATAAAGCGTTATGGCCTCCCCGCATCTAAAAGCCTGGATGACTGGAAAACATTGTTTGGTAGGCAGCCCATCAAGTTAAACTTCGGGAAGCCGCTAAATTAGCGAAAGGAAACATCATATCTGACGGCCAGGTCAAAGCTCCATCAAGATCCTTGGCGTGGAGTTTGTCTACAAATGGAGTGGATATCCAGGACATCTGGCATTACCAAATAGCCTACCGGCTGTCCTTCATAGACGAGAAGGTGGCGCCAAAGTCGTTTGGGGTAGCTCATGCTATGGACAAGCCATTCTGGAAGTGAGTTCAGTGATCAAAATGGCTACATACCTCTTTGCTAACAAGCGAGCTTTACGGTAACACATGCACCAACAGAAGACGAAAGGAAATTGATGAAGGATTGGATTCAGATCCTGTGTGCTTTTGTACATGGAGACAACACCTACGACTATGGAACACACTCAGTTGACGACATCAAAGCCATAAGTCCTGAGGGTAAAATCATGATTCAGAAGGATATTCGTTGGGAAGAGTTGATAGACATTGGTAAAATATTTAGTGGCAGCGACCAATGAGATATCGAGGTATATTTCAGTAGGCTACTGGATCTACTTTCTACACAGGTCTGAGCCGTGAAATTATCAAGGTATTGAGATAGCTCAGAGCAAAATTCAAACAGTCTTCGGTATCCCCAAAATGAGTTCACTCACCTTACTCGATTCAGAGACTCTTCAGGGTATATCACGATGCATAAGGTTCGTCTATAGGGCATTTTCTCACATTATCTAGACAGATACCTGATATTTGATACCCTTTCTAACTCTCTCAAGTTCAACCTCCTCCCCCATTTCGCATGATAGAAAATTCAAGAATTAATCCTTGTACTTGAAGTGAATGTTCTCTCGGTCAGTCATATCAGCTTCAGCATTGAGCCTACCCAGACGCTCGCTCTCCTCCTCCGAGATACCTTGCTCACGAATCATCTTAGCACGGCGTCGGTTCTCCCAGATATCTAGCGCGACATGTTAGCTAATGAGACCAAGACAGAGTCATCTGCTTACAGTAGAATCTCCATGAAGCCATGCTCAAGAATTCAACACAATAGAGAATGGCGCAGGCGGTCAAGCCTCTGATATATCTCGGGGCATCAGAGGCAACAAACATCTGTGCACCAACTGCGTTGCCAACACAATATGCGACGAAGATTGTAGTAGCAGTGACAGTCTTCTTGGTCCTGCCAGCAACGTTCGAAGGAAGAAACGTCCAGATCACTAGCGCAGCAAGTTAGCTGATGGTACTTAGTCATATTGCCAGACTTACTGAGCCCAGGAAGTGATCCAAAGACTTGTAGAATATACATGCCCCATCTGGTCCATTTCATGCTATCCTGAGGCAAAAAGGCTAGGGCCATCATTCCTGAAAAAGCAGGTATAAGGGAGAACATCATCATGAGGACTGAAGTTATTAGAGGAGAGTCAGCGATATTGCTAGGAGAGCTCACATCGAATATTAGGCTTCTTCAAGGTCACATATCCGACAACCAAGAACCAGTAGATGCTGACGCAGTAGTACGGAGTAGAGCCTTTGAGCAGTGTCTCCAGGGGCGTGAATCCGAATGACTTCCAGATGAGCTTCGAGAATGTCGTGTTGGCACCATTAGGGAGGGCATTGATGATGGTAATAAAGAAAAAGAAGTAGGTTTGCGGATCTAGAAGGCAGGATGTTAGATCGAAAGCCTTTAGGGGCTTACAAATGGCAGAGACGAACCTTTAAACGCGGCCCAGACCTGATCCTACTTGAACTCAGATCTCTTTTCGCGATCGGAGCCAGTTTGGTTAGACATAACACGAGCTATGGCAGCGCGTTTCTCTTCTTCGCTCAAACATCGTACTTCGCGGGGAGTTCCAAGGATGAACCATACAAGTATGCCACAAGTAATTGTCAAGGCTCCGAGGAGGAAGGATATCCCTTTCCACTGGGAATAAGATCAGTGTGATGTCATATAACCTGCCCAGATCGAAAAGAAATTACTGCAGCCAGGTCTCCTGGGTGCTTCTCAGCATGAAGGCCAATTCCGTACATACTCAATCCGGCAATGATGTTCATTCCAGCATTGGAAGTACCCCAGATCAAAGATCGAAGCGTATGTTCCTGGGAGGTATAAAATGCGCCAGTAATGAGCATGAAAGTGGGCGAGATAGTACACTCAAAGACACCCTGGATGGCTCTCAAGACCATGAGATGTGCGAAGTTCTTGGCAAAGGCAATGCACAGAACAATGACACCCCAAAGCACCATGACGATGGACAAGAACTTTCCGGTATGGGATTTTTGCATCAGCCAGTTTCCTGGGGCTTCGCAGACGAGATATGATAGGTAGAAGATTGTGCTGAGCCAGTTGAATTGTCTCCGACAAGACCTGTGTCTTCTCGGATACCAAACACCGCTTGGACGCTGAGGGATGTCATGTCGGTTTGTTGCGTGCCGTAGCATACCCACATGAGTGGGAGGAGCCAAAGGTCAATCTTCCAGAGGAGTTTGCGGTAGTATGTATCTGAGAATTCATTTTCGGCGTCGAGGACTTCTCCGGGGGGGATATCATCTGCAAGCTTGTCGTCTTGGTTGACTTGCTCCATTTCGACGCTGAGCTTTTTCTTGTCGCCAGAGTTGTTGGTGTCCATTGTCGCCGATGTGGCCTATTTGATCTGTGAACATGTTATGGGCCAATTGGTCATTATTTATTTGCCCTTGGTTCTGTTTTTCAGCCCTTGTTGTGATTTCGTATCATTCTATCAGATACCGCTGGTGAGCGAGCGATACGCCGACTCATATCTCGGCTGGATCTCATCCGGAGGGGCTTCTATCTTGCCAAGTCTGGGGAAATGATAGCCGACTTATCTACCATCACGCATTAGGTCATGATCTCCCTAGCGTAGCTGGTAGCGGTTTAGAGCAATACAATAGTGCGTGAACTTGTTCCAAACGGCCGGAGTCATTGATCCGTAGCAGTCATACAGGGCGGTTGATAAGCAGAAAGCATCAGTGGCTTCAATCAAGGGGTCTCAGTTAGCTTTCGCCTCGGCCAACATGATTGTCCTTTCCACGTCACGTCGTAGCTGCATACCGCCATTATGCGATGGTGGATCTAAATCTAATTCCGAGGCCAGAACAAGCAATAGGGAATATGGATTCAAAGCGCATCAACTTAGGTCGATCTACTAAGGCGTCATTCCAGGTGTTGAAGATCTTCGTATATATATATAGTACTAGGTATTGATAAGACTAGGAGAGGCAGTATAAGTACAATTTGAACAGAAGGAGAGGTTTTCCACAAAAACAATCGATGCCTGAGCATGATATCCGCTTTCACTCTAACGCAACACCTTTCGCCCGCTAGGACGTGGCAGCAAGCCCTTGGGGTTTGACGTAAAAGAAATGACTTCCATCCTCGCGGTGCAAACGTGTGAGAAGGGACATGATCCTTCCGGGGACGCCAGCTGACGGCCGAGTAATCATATAGTAGCCATTATTAGCTTGCCTAACAAGACCACTGATGAACTTGAACGAGTAGCGGTTGTTTCCAGGCTCTCGCGGCTTTATGGACCAAGTACAAGTAGGTCGTGCGAAAGGTTCAAGAGCCAAACCATGTCGTCCTCCGGGGCACATAATGCCCCGCTGTCCAACTTGGTTAAGGGCGACAGGGTAACCTCGAAGAGGGTCGAAAGTCTCGAGGTTGACGGGGGGCCAGGGATCCATTCGCCACTCAACAGGGTCACGCGTGTTGACACTGATGCGGGTTTGGGTAGCACCGACATCCTCAGCAGCGGCGTAGGTATCCTGATTGGTCTCCCAAAAGAACGGGTGAGGGCTGACGGGGTCGATCAATATGGTTTCAGCAAGTCTAATGGTTTCATTTCCGATGAAACGGACAAAGTTACGTTCCTGATCAAGCATTTGACGGATATGTCGGTCTATGGCACGTTGTCCTTCGTCGAATCGGACACCCTGTGCTCCATGGGCAATTTGCAAAAGATCGATGCCCTTAGAAACGGTGATCCAATAGTCAAGCACCTGTATACATGTTAGTTGTAGTCCATCGTTCTGGGCTTCTTCTACTTACAACTGTCTTTGACCTACTGTAGTAGGCCACCAGGTCAGGGGACTCGTTCCAGGCTTGCTGAGAGAGCTGTCGCATAAAGGCTCTCTCGCCATTGGAATTCAAGAAGTTATGAATCTGGGTGAGCCATCCAGGGATGTTATCTGCGCATGCCTGAAGTCTGTTGTCAAGCCGCTGCTGCAGTCTATCCATTTGACGCTCATGCTCTGTCTCGGTAAGGTTTCGCTCAGCGATGTCATAAGCGGTATCTAAGATATCCGCAACAGTCTTGTAGTGAGCCTGAATCTGAGCTATTGGCTGATTCAGGGTGTCCAAACGTATCGAAATGATACCGTTGGAGAGGGTATCAGTCAGATCGTCCAGAGATGACTGGATGAGTTGCATCTCTCTCACGACTCCGTAGATATCGGCTCTGGTGACTTTGGCATTGGGATCTGAAGTCAGATGGTCAAGAAATCTGCCAGCTGCCCAGCTGCCCGTCTCAGAGATGGCCCAGGAGATTCCGCTCGAGACAAGAGCCTTGCCTGCAGACAGGAGGAGCAAGCTTGCCGTGAAGGTCACAGCCATGCTGGATGGAAAGCTTTTTATGGATAGGGAAAGAAGATTGTGTTGAATAGGTCTTACTGAGTGTTTGTGACTTATTTGTTTGGGTAACTCTTTTCTTGGGGGAGTTCTATGGGATCTTTATACCTATTTCTGCATGTTTTCGATCGAGTGTCACGATCTAGAATTCATTCAATCGGCAAATATATAATCACCCTTACGTAGGGGATCCAAGCCACTCGGTCAAAATAACACATTAGCTTTTTCCCTCTTTCAGGCAGAATAGACTCTGTTTTTCCTATAACCAATATTAACTCTTAATAAATAAGCCATTAAATATATGGTTTAATCTATGACGCAACTATCCTGATTCTTATAGGTATATAATTAGACTGCTGTGTTCTCTTTAGTGTGACTGCAGCAGAAGACCAAACAACCCCCTGTCTTCTTAGATCCGTCCAAAGACAACGCGATCCTGTGAAAGGGGGAGAGGTACGTGGCCTGGAGAAAGGCCCCCAAAAGCTTGTATCAATTAAATTCAGGGTGGTCACAAATGTGGATAAATCATAAAAAACACAATAAAAAACACTTTACGTCCCCTCGGAGAGGATTTCGCAATTCTAGTCTATGCTGTTTTCGACAATCTATTTGACTAAATGAGCGTTGAGCTTCGGCCATGCCGTGAACTCTTCCCCAGCTAATCAGCGTTTTCATTGAACTTCCCCGTATGTCTCAGACTAATGGCACAAAAGGCTAGCCATCCGTGGCTAACAGGCCAACATTTCAGGGCACCCAATGCAGGCCCAGCATGCTGTCACTGCTAAGTTAGTCTCAAGATCTAGATGCGATCTCATTCTTGAGGAGAAATGCTCTCCAGAGTTCGCTTTGTCTATATGGTATAGTTTTCAGGAATGCTGCCAAGGAATATTTGTTATACTTAACCGTTTCTTGCTTCTATAATGCATTTTCTTGGTCAGGGTATAACCCCTGTATAACCTTTTCATCTCTCCTCTAGCAACGTTACGGATAAGTTTGCAGGCAGTTGGGAAGCCACCGAGGTAGCACACCGTTCGCGGCACAGATGACAGCTATGCCTTGGCAGAATTGAGACTTAACCCATTTTATGCAGACTACAATTCATCTCTGGAAGGCACGGATGTGACTCCAAAAACAACGAAGAACTACGGAGGCTATTCAATGCAGGTCGCCGCCTCGAAACGGACTGCCCGGAATGAGCGATCTAAGTTCGCCGTTTCTTTTGTCTTGCTGTGTTATTTATCGGAAATTTCTTATCCTTAGATACTGCAGGGCGTAGTGACTAGAGCTCATCCCGCTGGTTCTGGAGGAGCTGTAGAGGACTGGGTCTGTTGGTAGCCTACGTTGTCCTTCCTTGTGAGTAGTTCCGATGGCCAAATGTAGCTATTCAATAATTAATACATCACTGAGGATAAACTATGACCCGGTTGTTTACCCACATCACCTTCTTGACCGCTCTGTGCCTGCATACTTCTGTATTTTATATACTGCTCTACAACGAGGTTCAATCTGGAGAAAGGTTCATGTTGATATGCTTAACACGACCGCTTCATATGAGAGGCTCCCAACATGTCGATTAATAGTCATCACCTAGAATATCTTATCAACTAGATATGTTAAACTCACGTGTTAAAAAGTCCACGAAAAGCAACCTTCAGGCTGAACGCAAGATTGAACTTGATTGAACTTGCGTTTGCTCTCCAATGGACTAGAGAAATCTTGCGCCAATATGGCAGGACGGTATTGAAAGGGTAGGGAAATAATCATAACTTAGGCATTAATTACACTTTCATCTCCGTATCTCGAAATGTGCTCTAAGGTCTTTGAGAAAGGCTACAGTGGATAAGTCAACAGATAAGATGATGTGGTCTTATCTCTGATAAGATAAGCTCTTCCCAAAAGGGCTCTCTCAAGATAACGTCAATGGCTCCGTTCAACTTACCCTAGGCCTGGGATTTTGATTATTTGGCCTTCTGTAATTCCTTTCCTCAATAATTTATGAGAACCAAGATTATCCTATTGCTCTGGGAGGAGTATAAGAATTGTTTAGGGTGGGCAACAGTGAGTTGCGTCATGAAATGCATCCTTTGCTTATACGTTTTCACTTCTGCAATGTAAAAAGCTTGGGTATGGTGTAAGATTTAGTTTATTATTTTCGGAGCAAAGCTCGAACGACTAAAGGGTTTATATACTTGGACATAGCTTTCAGTGAGATATAAAATAATCGTCCAAAAGCCCCATTACCCTTGGCTCAGGTACTATTATTGCAATAGCGATTAGTTACTCTTCTGAAGTGGTCATGTGCAACACTCCGGACTTCTCCACGAAGCCGCCCAGACTCCTAATGCAGTTAAAACTCATCTCGGACCGACAATTTTGGGGACGCAGAGAAGTCCATGAATGACACCCTTGACTCTGTGAAAAACCCGTCGGACCGACGAGCTCGACCCCGTTAGTTTCGCCCCCCAGCCCCAGATTCTCTTCTCCTTAACCCCAGCTTTTGCTTGGCCTGCATCGCCATCTCCATCCCCAGACCCATCAAGCGCCCCTCAAAAGCATATCTCGGGAGGTGCGACACGAGACTCTGCCTTCCCCGGACCGACGAACGAGCCAGATCTGGAGTTTATGGGATGCCGAACTGCACCTAAAGACCTCATGAGCTGATTCCGACCCACTGGTCACGGATTTGGAGTCTCAAAACCCCGAAAACTGACTGACATTCGCCGTTAACACTGCCACTCGGAGAATTGTACCATACCCTAGCTTAACTGCTCATCAAAGAGGCACCGTTAGTGTCTCGAACTTAACCCCAAACATGAGCCAAGGCGGCGAGAACGCGTCCCTGGACACCGTGTCACCAACCAACACCATCACAATGACTTCCAAACCGTCATCAAGGGTCAAGCATATTCCCGCCGAAGAACCGAAGAGGCAAGCCCGCAATGCAGAAGCCAGCGCCGCCACGGCGCTAGAGCACGAGCTTAC